TGTAAATGTGTTTCACATCAGCATCGTTGAGTGAAGAGCCGTGGGAAGGTTCAGAGGTCAAGTTCACTGGCGGAAGAGGGCATCCTGGGAAACAGGAAGGCAGCTTGAGGACCTCTATGTCTAAAACCAGGAATGGATGCCATAGGGACATCATTGGGCCAGTTCACAAGATTAGAATACAGCTGGTAGCTTACATAAAAGTATTATATCAGTGTTTAATTTAAGGACATTGATAACTGTGCAATTTTCTGATAACATCCTTATTAGAGTGGTCCAAGTAAGTGGGAAAAGAATATATGGCAGCCCCAGAAGGTGAGTACACTTTTGAGTATGGTTGTTTGAAAGAAGACAGCAAGACATATAAAGCAGACAAAAACATAGTTCTGAGCTGTCCAAAGAGTATGCTGTGCTTGAGGATATTGTCTACTCTTATTTATTCTAAACTTAAAACATGAAATCATTAAATATAATGAAGATAAAAGGCTATTTTCATTTTATACATTTAGTAGTAATGTTTGTTAATCATCATTGACAACTGTGAGGGGTAAATTCTATATCAAATTGCAAGTTGTGATGATTTAAAGAGCCCCTTTGGGGCTGGCTGGTTAGAGTGTGGTGCCGATAACACCAAGGGCCCAGGTTCAATCCCTGTACCAACCAGCCACCAAAAATAAAAATAATAATAAAGAGCCCACTTTACATTCATTTGAAAATGAGCTTTTAGTTTAATCCTTAATTGTTTTTTTAAAAACCCTAAACCTATAGAGAGATACTAAGGTCTTTCCTATTCTTTAATTTCTTCACATTTATTTATTAAAAGGTATAAATGTACAGTTAACTAGTGCAGACCTCTCATATCCTTATTCATCGTTCATCATTTATTTTCCTCTATTATCAGTTTTCTTTAAACAATCAGAATTTCAAAACTCCTCTAATTTTAAATATGAAATACTAATTACCTGATTGATCTATTATTAAACTTTTCAAATTTGTTTTCTATTCCATTTTTTCCTCTATTCCGCCTAGACTGTGTCCCCAGTTAGTGACTGTGATGGGCGGGGTGGGAGCTTTTCTTCCATCCCATGTGTTCATTGCCTTCATCTTCCTCACCTCAAAGGGACACGTGAGGTGCACGTGCGTGTGTGGGCGTGAAAGACCTGGGGCCCTGGGCCCCCAGCTGACCTTCACCAGATCTGTGAAACACAGATGCCATTTTAAGGCCAAGACTGTGAAAACACAGCTTGGTGAGTCAGAGCCACACAAGAATTTTTAAACTGGGCTCTGTCAACAGCAGGAGATAAGCTTCCTTAAGGGAAAATCAAAACAACAACTGCCCTCCCTGTGAGGCCCTGTGTGGCTGGAAGAGGGTGAGCATCTGTAACTGCTGCAGCCCTGGTCTGTAGGGCCGGTCTCCAGGGCTCTGTCTCTCTCCCTGTGTGTTTGCCCTCCCAGCCAGCCCCCTCTGCTTCTTTATAGTTGCTCTTCCCTGATAGCATGGCCTTGCCCAGAGGTTTGGCTTGCTGGGACCCCTTCTGCTTTTCTTTGGTGGGGGGGGGGGCTTTTTGGCCAGTATGGGGATCCGAACCTTTGACCTTGGTGTTAGAACCCCACGCTCTAACCAACCGAGCTAACCAGCCAGTCCTTACTTCTACTTCTTATCAAACATTTCAGTTTTTGTTTTTTTTTCAAGCTGCATTGGATGACATCCTGAGAGCATAATTAGTGGTAGCCTGTTTTAGGAGCTTCTTGTTCTTACCATGGTTTTTCTTTTTAAATTGACATCAGACTGGATAAGGGAGACTATAGGAACAGGAGTGTGCCTGATGAACCTAGCTCAGGTTTGCAACTAACCACATCGCAGCTGCTTTTGGAGGACTGCCCGGGGTGGATGGGTCACGTGCACTCTAGGGGAGCCCTCTCTGCAGGACTGCTTCTCCCTGGACGGTGCAGCACAGACAACTTTGCTCCTCTCGCTCAGTTACACATTTACTGACTGAATTTACCCACTCAACTTACCAACCTACTTCCATACATAAAGGGCCTGAGCAATAGTTGAAGGTGATCTTGAAAGGAAACCAAGGAAGAGACCTCTTTCTGGGAGGCTGACAGTTTTTGTTTGGTTTCCTTCATGTATTGCTGATTCTTTGTCAGTGACCAGTTTTCCCTGGTATCTCTACTCTGGAGAGATGCCTCTGCTAGAAGTTGTTTAATGCATTATGAAAACTGTTATAGGCTGTTTCTGGGGCAGGTAAGAAGATTGGCTGTGGGAATGTAAGGTGGTACCCAGAACAGACGCAGTGCATATGTCACAATGGAACTTATGTCCAATGGAGATGGAGGCATTAAAGAAAGAACTGTCTCATTACAGTTGGTAAGTAATATGAGGAAAGTGCTTGGGGCACTTTGGCACCCCAGAGGAAGTGACATCTTAGCTGAGACCTGAAGGATGGTAGACCTCGTCACTCAAAGGAGGTGGCAAGCAGGAGGGAGGGTGTTTCAGGCAGAGGGAATACAGCCTGAATCACACTGAATGGTCATGGAGTGGTAAAACACTGGCTTGTTCCTAACGATGTAGATGGTGCCATGCCTGGGAATTCCTGGGTGACTGTGTCACTTCCAAGAGACTGAGCTGCAGAAGATCAGAGACTGCTTCTTAGTCATTATAGGGATCCCAAGGACAGGGCCCATGGCAGGCACTTAATAAATAGGCATGTATTTAATAAGCGGTATTGATCATAGCTAGTCTTTGTGCTGCTTTCTGTTAGGCTTTCTTTATATCAAAACATGATGTGTTTCTTATAAAAAGGTCTGAAGGAACTTGATTTTTCAAAAGCTGCCCCCGCAGCTGCTGGGCTGGTGACTGCCCTCTTAGAAGGCTCTGCCCAGTCAGGCGTCCTCACCCTGTCTCCACTGCCTGCTCCTCCATGTTGTTTTCTTTACCTGGCTGGTTTGGCCTTTGGTTAGAGAAGCTGGTCAGTGGGACGCACAAGTAGTGTTCCAGGAGCGTTTGATGTAGGTTTCTACAGAGGCAAAGGATCCTTGCAACCATAGGCCAGTCACAAAGCAAAATATCAGCTCTCTAGAATGTTTGGGAAGCTCTTCTACATAGGAGTTTCCAGGACACTGCAGATTTACCCTTTGAATACTCAAACTGTTTTAAGTCATTCCTGATTTAACCATTCTCATTTTAAAGTATATTAGGCATTTCCCTGTATTTTTAAAGAAAAATCTTCTTTTTATTTATAACAGAGAGGCCTGTATTTTAAAGGATGTAATGCCATCAGTGCTTCTGGAGGGCATGTATGACTTGCATCTGTAAGAGGCACTGGAAGACATACAAACATAAATTTTATAATCTTCCTGTTTGCTACTTTGTAATTAGGGTGTTGGTTTAAACTTGTAACTGCTGGCACATACCTGCCTCTGTTATCCCTTGCCTCTTTCTAACCTGTTGGCACTGATCAACTGTAAAGTTGGAAGGAAATTATAAATTGGAAACCACATAACCAGGTCTTATTTATGTGTTCATGTATTTATTTAAAAATGTGTTCCTTCAAATATATCTTCAGCCAAGCATTGTGCTGTGCACTGGGGTTACAAAGATTAGTAAGACATGTTCCTTTTCTGCCAAGAACCTACTAGAAGAGCAGGTTGTGGTGGGGAACTGGGCCAGGGGGAGTCCACAAGAGGAGCACGTACCCCAGACGGAAAGAGCAGTGAGAAACAGAGCTGCCACCTCCCTGGGACTGTGCTAAGAGTAAAAGGGAATGGGTGGGTTCCCAGTGATGGCCTGGAATTTCTTAATTCATGAAGTACATAAATTTCACTGCATATGCTTGTGACTTCTGTCTTGCTGCAGAGGCCATTCCCATGTCTGTGCCATGCTCTAGATAGTCTGTTGTGAGCTAAGCTCCAAATAGGTGAGGATTACCTTAAGTCAGTAATGTTTTTTCTTTTTTTACTTTATATCATTATTAGTGATGCTAAGTGGATCACTTGATTAAGGTGCTGACCTCCAGATTTCCCCATCATAAAGATGCATTTTCCCTCTTTAAGTAAAGTATTGGTTAATACCTTGACACATTTGAATATCTTACTCCCCAAAAACCTCTCACCTAATGCTTTAGTGTCCATTGGTGAGCCTTTTCTGAATCAGCTATTAGTTATAGATATTGCAAAATTGTGATTTTTCTAGTTCTAACATTTCCTCTGTATTGACTGGCTATCAGTGATCTGTAAAGAAGATCTTTACATTCTTACTGTCCCTCTCCCATCCCTGGAAGCAGCCATTCTTCAAGAAGCCTCTGCAAAATGACATTTAGAGAACAGGATTTGGGCAGCAGGAATGCTCACTGCTATGGAGATGTCATTGCTCCTAGGCTCTTGCAGTGCCTTAAGCTAGCGCAAATATATATAAAAAGAGAAAAAGCATGGATTTGTCTTGATACTTCTAAAGAATTAATCTGTTATAAGGTCTTTCTCGTGTTTGGTAAAAATTCAATTAGAGTAATACTTTGAGTTTATCTAAAAAACCTTTTCTCTTAAAAAAAACTTTAAATTCTTTTGTATCTGTTACTCTTATCTATCAGGAGGAGAAGGGACAACTGCATTAACTCCATGCGACTTGGGAAAAAAAAAAACAGTACTCACAAAGTTTAAATAAGTTGCCCAAGGTGACACTATGGTTTAATCAAACTTTAAATTCTTTTGTATCTGTTACTCTTATCTATCAGGAGGAGAAGGGACAACTGCATTAATTCCATGCGACTTGGGAAAAAAAAAACAGTACTCACAAAGTTTAAATAAGTTGCCCAAGGTGACACTATGGTTTAATCACATGCACTTCTAAGAACATTCGCATTCTTTCTGTAATAGGAAGGGATTGCTGGAGATACCTCCTGTACATTTTAGTAAACTCCTTTTATAGCATACATTTGCTGTATGTATAAAAAACATTTTTAATGTTGCCAGTATTTATAATTTATTCTGATTGCTTTCAGGCGCAGCTAAATCAAGTCCAGCATCTAAACCGGGATCCACACCTTCTCGTCCCTCATCCGCCAAACGGGCTTCATCCAGCAGCTCAGCATCCAAATCTGATAAAGACTTAGAAACACAGGTCATACATCTTAATGAACAGGTAACTCATCGCTTCTGGCCCTGTGTCTGGGAGCAGTGACACGTGTAAGGGGTGAGGGGCCTGGGATAAGGAAGGAAAGGTGAGGCAGAATCAGTGGTTTCAAGCATGGAAGAATAAAAGGGTTGTTCAGGAAGATAAAATCAGTAGCCCATGATGATTTGATCTTTTAGAAGATGTTAGTCACAAATCTCAAAACTGTACATTAAGACAGGGCAGATGACTCAGCCCCAGGTACATGCAAGCTTGGTGTCTCCCCACCCCCATTCCTCAGTGGCCGCAATAAGCTCTAGGTTTGGATCATGGCCTGTCATGCCCACTTCTGGCCAGTATAGATAGTGTTAAAGGCTGCTTTGCATTTAGTCTCTCTCTCTCTCCTTCCTTCTTTTCTTTCTTTCAGCAACTATTTGTTAAGCCTGTTCACAGATTTGTGCTTAATGCCAGTAATATAATGGTACAAGATAGACACCTTCCCTTCCCTCATAGAACTTACAGATAGCAGTTGCACGCAGTAGGTTATTACACCAGCAAAACAGAAAAACCTGACAGTTCTCACAGTGGCCGAAGTTGGCTTCTGCAGGAGCACGGAACTCAGTACTGGGGAGATCGAAAGGCTATTGTGTTTTAAGTAGAAGACTTTCCTTTCTATCTAATAGTCCTCACAATTACAGTAAATCTAGACCTACTGTCCTTGAAATTTTCATTAGAAAAGCTTAGCTACACTTTCTAACTAACTAATTTTGCCTAAGATTATATGTAGTTTCAGAATAATAAAACAGTGGGGAGCAGAGGGCCCACTGTGGAAGCTACCCAGCCTCCCCCGAGTGCGGAGGAGAGTCTTTTATCCTGGCTGCTCTGCCCCTGGGAGAGGAGCCTTACCTCCAGGTCCTCAGGCTGTTCCCAGACACTTGCTGGGTCAATCCCAGTGATTAATCTTATTCTCGATGAGTCAGCAAGAATCTGGAAACAGTTTTTGAGATAATTGTGTATTTGCAGTCTAGTTTAAAAGCAGGCAGTTGCTTACCTAGGGTGTTTCTTTACAATTCTGATCACTTTAATGAGAAACGTAAAACCTTCATTCATCCAGTGGATAGGACTTTGCTTTAGAAACTGCAATGTTTTAATTACCTGCTGATTCTCAGTTTGAGCCCATAGAGAGTTTCCATTAATGACTTCTCAGAGAAAGGCAGTAAATAAGGACAGCCGTAATGAGCCTTGGGCCGCGTGCCTACGGCTCTAAGCAGAGTAGACCTAATGAGAATCAGGCAGTGGGTCTGTAATACTTTGGATTTATAACTTTTTTCTCCTAAGGAACTCAAATTCTTTTGATATCTTTATTATCTCGTGTTTCTTCGTGACTCCCTTCCTCCCTGTCTTCCCCCTCCACCACACCCAGGTTCTCAACCCTTCAGCCCACATTATAACTGCATGGAAACCTCGAGTTCCTTCCTGGCCCTCTCTCTTTTACAGTCTTAACCAGCCAGCCTCACTTCCTCTCCTTGGGGCTGGCTGTAGGCTCCCATTAGCTCTCCAAATCACACAAAAGGCCCTGCATCCCCAGGTGACCCAGACCTCTGCAATGCTTCTGTCCTACCATCTAAAATGCATCTCTAGAGGGCCGGCCCGGTGGCGCACTGCTACAGTGCGCGGCTTGGGAGCGCGGAGGCCCTCCCGCCGAGGGTTCGGATCCCACATACAGACCGGTTCCCGCTCACTGGCTGAGCAACGGGCGGGCGCAGCACCGAGGGTTGCG